TATTATTAATTATTATTAAAAATGTATTAAACGTTCTAGCATTGCTCTCATACTTCTGATTCATGTTCAGCTGGTGATCCATGACCATACCCAAATTCTTTTCAGATGTAGCATTTCCAAGCTGTAAATCCTCTATGTTGTATGTCTGTCCTACATTTTTCTCCTTAAATGTAATATTTTATATTTCTCCTTATTAAAGAACATCTTGTTTCTCTCTCAGTCTACCAACCTGTCTAGATTAGACTGGAGTCTTCTGCATTCCTGGGAGTTGTCCAGACTTCCCAATTTTGTGTCAGCTGCAAAAGCAGATCCATCAATCCCATAACCCAGGTTATTAATAAAAATGTTAAATAATACTGGATCTAAGTCAGATCCCTGCAGAGACCCAGTGCTTAAGGAGCCACCCATGCTGACATTCTGAGTGTGGTTCACCAGCTGGACCCCCCAACTGTAGTGCCAATCAAACCGTATTGTTTGCTAACGAGGATGTTGTGTGGAACCTTGTCGAAAGCTTTGCTAAAATCAAGCCAGCTTATATCTGCAGCATTCCCCTTGCCTACTAGTTACTCAAGGAAAGAAGGAGACAAGGTTTGTCTCATGTTATCTCTTCCTGACAAAGCCACGTTGGCTCTTAGCAATCGCAACAGCAAGAGTTGATTTAAATTATGGTGGGATATAAATGTAATAAATAACTTTGAAAAAAAAAAAGCATTGTCAGAGCCCAGAGCTTCCTGCCTCATATTGTATTGGTGTCTCATTTGAGAATGCTATTATTGCAGCCAACATGGCTGGCAAAAGCTCAGTTGCTTTTTGTCATACTTTCTGGCCACACTACATCAGCCATAGTGGCTGCCATTTTGTTTTTGGGCCCACTTCAGAATGCTGGTTCTTATCTGTAACAACCAACCTGTTTTAAATATCTGAGAAATCTCCTCTTTCCATGTTAACCTTGCTGTAATTTAAGATCTAACTCAGAGGTCCTTCACAATATCAACCATCATCAACCAAAGATAAATTGGTGAAAATGGGACAGGGTCTTCTCCACAGTGGCACTGACATTATGAAAAGCTCCCCTAAAGAGTTGAAACCAGCATTGTTTGTTTGTTTAATTATTTGAGGCAGGAAATTTATCTATCTATCTATCTATCTATCTATCTATCTATCTATCT